GTAGTGCAGGCTGTTCGGCGTGGAAATGTACACGATGTCGACGTCCGGATCGTCCAGGAGATCCTGATACGAGCCGTAGGCTTTGGTAAAACGGTACTTTCTCTGGTGCTTCTGGGCTGTTGAGAGATCGCGCGAGGCGATGGCGTGGAGGATGACTGACGGGTGGGATTCGGCGGGGTGGATTACTAGAGCGTTTGGTTAGTATCAGCGCGGCATCATAACGAAACAAAGTAAGCTTACTGGCTGCAGGGTTGATTTGGGCGGTTGAGATGACGCCCAGTTTCAATGCGTCGGGAGTTTTACTGGGGGTGATGTGAAGCCATGAGTAGACGTATTGGTGTAGGAATGTAGCGGCTTGGTCGGCGAGCGCCATGATCACAACAGATACAATGACGATTGCTTGAAGCTGAGGAATGGTCGGATTTCTTGGTTACTGTAGGTAAGGATTGAGATCATTTATAATGGTATTGCATAGCACCTGGTGGTCTGAGGTCTTGTCAATGATGCAACGGAGCTATGACGTTATAACTTCATCAGCTACCCTCACACTTGATATCGACAACTGACAAGCGGATACCTCTCAAATATATTCGAATAGTTGGGCCTCTAAGCTATGGTAGATTGATTATTCTGTCATAATCCTAATCAAGGGTTGAGGAGGGAAGGATGTGAAATGTTATTCATAACCATAAAATACGGCCTCTTTCTCCGACTCCGAACTGATATGAATGTCTCGTAGAAGGTCATCACCGAGAGTACCTGCCCCCTAGCCCAGCCAACCCCTTTCCAACGCCTCGATCCTCTGGTCTGATCTTTCTCTCGTCTCCCGGTGCCCGCACCTCTAGCCCCGCACGAAGGATATTAGTCCGCAACAGCCGGAGATGAGCCTCTTTTCTGAAGTTGACAAGGCTCTCCAGCGCTGCTCGCTGCACGTCTGTCCGTAGATCAGTCTGCTTAGATACGAGCACCCCCTTCTCCAAGTCAATCCGAGCATCCAGCGTTCCATCCTGGATCAAGCTGATCAACTCTTGCACGAACGGGGAGTTGAAGTCGGTTGGGTGCGCCTGGCCGCCAGCGACCCCTGGAGCAAAGATCTTCAACATGGAATCGAGCGTCACGCGGCTAAAAGGAACGAGATACTGCTGGATAGCTTTCGTGCGGATGCGGGTGAAAAGGGTGCTGACATGACGTTGAAGGTGGATGTCGAGTAGATAATCGGCTTTGTAGGACTCGAGAATCTCCAAACAAGGTCGGAACTTCGAATTGCAGAAAAACGAGATCGCCCGGCGAATATGCGGTTCGAGTTCGAGGAAATTGCGGAACGAGTTGTTGTCAAGTACGCGCCGCTGGAGCTCGTTACGATCCATCGACGCAAGTGCACAGAGCCCACCATAGACCGCCACGTCGTTCGATGTGACGACTTCGTTGTAGGAATCCCCAAGCGATGGATCAGTGGTCAAGAAACTGTTCGCAGCATCCAAGTACGACCCGGAGTGCAGCTGGGACAAGCCCAAGGCGGCTGACATCTTAGGTTGGTTCTTCGCCTGCTCTTCCGGTTTCGACTGGAGGTTGCGCAGCCGGTGCACGTTGGATTGTACGCTCAACCAGTCTCCCCGCTCGATTGCCACATTGATAATCTTGAACAACATAGACGCGATGTGGCTGGGTGTCGTGCAGTAGTCCCTCATGCGCGAGTAGGCCTTGGAAGCGGCCACCAAGTTGCCGATCTGATGGTAGTGAAGTCCGAGATCCTCGTTGCCCATCTGTGAACATGCAAAGTAAGCAATCGCTGCTGATTCCAGCAATATAATATACCACTTACCCGTATGCTCTCCTTGATCAGATTGTTCTTATAGCCCCTCAGCTCGTGCTCTAACCGGTCCGTTTCAGACTTCACAACTCTCTGCATATGGTCCACCCATTTCGTGTCCTCGATGGCTTCAGGTTCATTTGGGGAGACTTCGGCCAACGCTCGAACAGCCTGTTGATACCTGACGACATCTTTTCCCGCCTTTGCTTCAGCAACCGCAGCCTTGAGCGCTTCCGTAGAGAGATACGTGGAACAAGTGCCTATGAGGTACAAGCGATTGAATCTCGTCCGTCCTGTTGTGCGAGTATCAATCAGTTGCGGCCGTCGGAGCTTTGTGCGCATGCCATGTTTTCCTACTAACCGGTGTAGTTCGCAATGTAAGACTCGAGTTCAAATTTAGGCGGATCTTCAATGCACATTAGCTACTTCCCCTCATTGACAGTTAATCTCCCCGCTCGTATAGCTGGGGACAACTCACCATCAACCTTTACAAAAGGCGCTGAGGCTATCATGTTCCCATTTGTACCCTCTGGATCAACCATCCCTGCGCTAGAAGCCTGCCCCGCGTATAAACCAGGTTGAGATGCATCAAAAGCATCTGGGAGTGTTGAGTCCATGGCGTCGTTGTGGTGCACGTGCAACGCCTGCGTCGACGGCACGGTAGGTCTTTTGGATCAGATTTTTTTTGGAAACAATGAGATAGCGAGGACCTTCAAGGAGTTCTGATATGCAGAAAAGAAGTACAGTGTATAATTCCCAAAGCTGATCTCAGTTATTTTGATAGGGCGATGCGGAGAACAGAGCACAGGACAATGGGCGGAGAGCTAGTGATGGTAGTGAAGTAATGGAAGTGATCAGTAGGACTGATTCCTTGATAAGTACTTTTGAACCAACAAGTTCGTTCTATAGACGATGGCTCTCAACGCGTAATAGATATGAGATTGCAACTCTAGAGCACTAAGGATGGAGTATCGAAGTCATCATCACCGGCATTATTTGGCATTCTAAGCCCCAAGGCACCGTCGTCGAGGATTGACCGCCGAATTCACCGCCCCCATTCTTCTCCCCGACAAAACAATAATTTGATGTTTCTTGTACGGCATTCAGACCATCCAGCGCAAGTATGGGAAAGCAAGTCATCAGTTCATCAGATAATGTCAAAAATCCCCTCACCATGGTCCCCGACTACAACTCCTACGGCTCCTGTCATCACGGTATCAACCTGTGCTGTCGGATCCCAGTGTGAGACATATTCTCTCTCCGGGTGCTCCATGGAGGCAATTTCGGCGAAGATGTTTTCGTTGACTAGCCCCTCGTTGTTCGAGTTTCTGGGCAATCTAGTTTCGTTGCTGAGTCTCAGGGGAAGACAATCTGATGCCGCCTGAGAGCTCTCAGCCGGCTCAGTCCTGAAGGAGCGATCGCTGCTAATGAACTTCCATATTAGTTTATGCAATAAGCATAAGAACAAGCGTCAAGCCGACCTTGGGTTTGTGCTATTACGCAGTGAGCTTTAGCTGAGCTTACACGATTGAACAGGAAACTTGATTTACACTCACTGATTCTCGTCTGCAATGGTCGAGTCGCTTGCTGAAGAGCTGGGAGAAAGTCAGCATTAATGACGATCCTACCTGAGTCTTCACTCACTAGGTAGAATAAAGGATTGAAGATGAGGATGAGCTAGGATGACTGTCAACATTGCGCCCGGCACGTCCATATAAAAATGATACATACCCAACCGTTACGACGGATGCGTTCCCCGCCATACTGACTGCACTTCTTGCCTTGTTATTATAGCTCCGTAGGCGTGCGAAATGAGGTGCTTACTGTGTATTTGGTTGGGGAGGCGGAGGTGGCATCGACTGCACAGCTGCATGGTTGCCACGGCTGGCATGATTGTACTGGCGTGTATGTCAGTCCTACTTCGGTAATATAGTTGCACGTCGGGATCTACCGTATTGCCTCTCCTTCTAGTAATTCGTTCTCTCACGCGACGGCTGGCGTTCAACCATCTTCTCCGACGGCGCCAATCTGGCCTATTGTTTGTATTTTCGGATGGCCTCGAGATTCTCTCCGGTTCGTTGGGAAGTTGCAACATCATAGACACGTGGCCCTGCACCAAAAATCAGCCTACGGTATGATGATAATGAGTTGAAGCGCCATGGCACATACGAGAAACATCAGACCCTCTCTTAGAGGGCACCTGATCAGGGAATGACCTCTCTGCAAGCAGAGTTGACAGAATGGACCCTGCTGCTGCTATCAGCAATCGATCACCTCACCGTTGGGCATATCCAAATGCCAGTTGAGAGGTGCTGGCTCATCCTTACCCTGGGCATCCTGTGAGTACGATCTCGTCTGGGTGTGTTGCGATGACAATCCAAAGGGAGAATGATCTGGATTTGGAAGAAAAAAGCACGTCGCTGAGATGGCTTGAGCGTGGGTACACACGCTCTTCCAGGAAGAACTGAATTGAACCGCGCGATTTCTGGTTTACTGCTGAGAGATGAACGTGACGGGCAGCGAGACGGGATAGGAAAGAGTCCCTCCGGGGAAGGAACGGGGTAGAAAGGCGAGACGGAGCAGGAAAGACTCATCAACGAGGGGCGTCTTGAAAGAGTGTACTAGCCAAATCTGAGATGAACAGCCAGTCCCAACAGTGACTATCAGACCCCGTATCTAGGTACCGTAGATCTCCCAGATGTCCTTATCCTGTCCGTCAACTGTTCGTTTTTTCACTGATATGCATGACGTTCTATCCGGCTCGAGGTGTTGTAAGTCAAGACGGTGGTGCCTTCCACATCAGCTTGGGTAAATGCTCATCTCCCGCATCCGTCACTGTGTTTGATAGCTAATGCCGTTACAACCATACCTACTCTTAGTCATTAAGATGTATTTGCAACAAATCCAGAGGAAGCACCGTGATTATGATTATTCAGATAGGCGTAGGTCGTGAAAGTTGATCAACATGTCACAGAACAAATAATGCCTCCGCAAAGTCTTGAAAAGAATAAGCTGGGAATGACGATAGCGGGGACTCCATGCTGTATGCAAGGAAAACAGAAACAGAGACATAAAATGACGCTGACAGTATCTTAGAAAAACATCAACAAGAAGAAATTACAATCCAGAAAACTATCCCGAGCTGTATCAATGTACAGCCCACAGTCTAGTGGGGGTTCACGCAAGCAGTTTACAGCAGCACTGCGAATCCAGCAATGAAGCCACCCACCACAACACACAGACCATACACATGGCCGATGTCAACGGACGAGACCCTGACTGCCGCGTTCTTGTTCGTGGCCTCTCCTGTGAATGCGGCCAGAGTCGTGGTCGTAGCAGGATTGTTGGTAGGGTTCGATGTGGCACTGGTTGTAGTGACATTGTGGCGCGTGGGATTTTGAGCTCCACAAGGGTGCTCAGAGCGACAAGCAGACTGACAGGCCGAGTCGGCGCCGGAGCATCGGTCAACACACTCGTTGTTGGCCTCGGTGCAGAGGTAGTAGGGAATGGTCTGAGAGTATTCGGAGGTGTTTGGAGAGATGCCGTTGGAACAAACACACTGGTAAGAGAGAGAATCCTAGCCGAAGAGAAAGGAAGCCTGTCAGCAACTTATTCTAGGAGGTGGCCCGAGGTGTCGAATTTGACTTACAGAGTCGCACTCGTTCTGACTTGGATCGCCAGTGGCATTGATTTGGAGACAGAGGAGGGGACAGGACGAGGTCTGATCGAGACACCATTTGCCTGGCAGGATCGAAGTAGTCAGACAGAGCTCGAGTGTAAGATCTAATATACTTGAGACCTACTTCGTGTGGAGGGGTCAATGGCACTGATGTTCACGGCAGTCCAAGTTTGGCTGCTGACCAGCCCGACTATCGAGGCGACGACAATCAAAGTACGAGAGAATATCATATTGTCTATGATACTATGTCGACAATTGAACGAAAAAGACGTGACAATCGCAGGTTTTGGAAGCTTTCCAAGCTGTATTTGTGGCGATTCTAAGGATAGCTTGAGTCAAGGTCTCAAAGGATGAGAGAGAGAGAGAGAGAGAAGAGAGATTTCCGGAAGAATCAAAGGTCAATAGCAATGCCCTTTGCCCTTGTGACACCGTCGACTACTAATAATGGAAGCTCTGAATGGAAAGTGGAAGAAGAAGATGGGCTCTTGGAATTGACCTGGGAACCACCGAACCAAGTGTACAAGTGGAGAAGCAAACAAGTCGACAATGAGGAGAAGCTCGGGATGGACTACTGAATATGGCCGACGCAGGAGCTTTTAAACAGGTCGGTCCGTAGTCCGTGGTACTACAGGAGCAGTGGACTAGTAGAGGACTAGCGCTACACAACATTTGAGACTACTCCGTAGATACTCTATCTGTCACTGGAAACCGGTGGCGAGCTATCCGAGTACGTAGTAGTGTAGTACGATGCTCCGTAGTTAGTCACCTGCCAAGTGTGGTATCGGACCATCCAGCCTTGGTTTGCGGCAATTTTGGAAGAGAAAGTCGGGTGGTTAGCATGGGATCGTCTCGTCTTTAAGGTAGGAAAACAATATAGAATACGGATCAAATCGGCTGGCTGGTGGTCAGAAATAAAGGGAGTCTGTTAAGGGGCTACTGTTTTCCCTTGAAGAAAAAAAATTGTCGATCCGGGGAATCCTCAATACGTAGTACAAACAAGGGTTTGCGTCCCGAGCTTAGAACCCCTATCGATGTTGGGAATCCACATGCTTCCCATCGAACGTGGGGTGTCTCAAATTTACATACGGAGTACAAACTACGCATTCGTACTTCAATGATCCAAATCCTTATCACTGCGTTTCTCCGCACCTGACGCTGGAGCCGAAACATGGTGTTGGTGTTTTGGGCCCAAGAGAGCCGATCAATATTATTGACGGATAGCTGCTTGGAGGGGTGTCCAGATGTCTCACCTGTAGACATTGACTTTCCCCGAACAGGGAATTTGCTTGGACAGAACCACTCTTGGCTTCTTCTAGTGTTTACACTAGATGGATGGTACTAGTCGCTGACAGAACGAGCACGAAGGAGATTTCGGAATAACGGCTAATGCTGCCCGAAATCCTCGAAAGAGGATGTCCTTCCAACAGATAATCAGGCATAAGCTGGAACAGAGGAAAGAAGATGTTTCTCGTTTCTCGTGATAAAGTTTGATCAACAATAACTGAGGACAGCTGCTGAAGAATGTCGAGGGCGATGAAGAACCAAAAAAGGAACGGAAGTTACTAGTACAGATAACTAGTTAAGGAAATCTGCTGACTCATGACTTTCTTCTCCAATATGCGATATTCTTGGAAGTCCCGTGACCTGGCCGTTATTTGGCCGAAGAACATCAAGACAAGGAGATCGACCCAAGAATCAAGAAATGTAAGGACATCGATGGTCAGATGCATTGGTTATGTCTCAGACTCGTCATCAACTTTCTCATGGACAGCGTTCATTGAAGTAGCCTTGCATCTGATCCGATTTCTTTTCTATTTTTACTTTCCTCTCAACGCCTCTCAGACTCTCGATTCATATCTACTACATCCACTGAGCAGGACACAGACCAACCACCTGGCAAGCTTCGCTAGTGAGCCCCGTTAGTGTTCAATATCGGTGTGTTCCCGTACCCTTGCTTCCACCGCTGCTCCCCTCATTTTAGGTTGCATTTCATTCCGTTTTACTCACTTGTTTTAGTCGAATATTACAGAGTACTACCAGAATTTGATTGTCACTCTCCCTGTCTGGTTGCCGTCCGTGCCAGCACTTCCAACCCCCCTAGGTAGTAGTTAAATGGATGGAGCCAGCGAATGAGGAGACCGGTTCGGTGCCTCGGCCGCAGCCGTCATCCTCCCCTCCCCAGTTTTCCACATCCTCCCCCGCTGTCGACAGAGATGCCATTGTCGCTGCTGCGTTATCCGACGGGGTCAGCGTGAGCAACGGTTCTGTCGTCCCGCAAGCCCGTTATGCCTCGTCCTCTGATCGTCCCGTCTCCGGTGTGATTCCGCCGTACTGGAGTCACCACCGGAATGCATCCCGCACATCTCAGATCTCTTTGGATCAGCCGGCCATCACATTAGAGGATCACACTGAGGATCCCAACTCGGAAACCAGCCGGGGTCTCTGGGCCAAAAGTGTCACTGTTGATGACTATGCGGTTGTCCAAGGGAAGACTGGAGTAGGAGCATATGTGGTTTGGAATTGCAGAATACAAACCCTTGATGTATGTTGGCTCCTCGTTCATGACGATATTGAACTGGTGCTAACGTAGCCGTAGGGTGGTCCCATCACTGTTCGCATGAGGTACGTCCCAATCATATCATCGTATTGGATCCGAACAGCTGGACGACAGTCATCTTGCTCACAACGCACAGATACTCCGAATTTGATGACCTGCGACGGCAATTGCAAGCCTCATTCCCACATGCGAAGAACGCTTTACCAGCACTGCCTCCTAAAAGTGTGCTCTGTATGTGTCTCTGAGTGGACAAAACAGACTCTCAGTTAACGATCATCCCTAGATAAATTTCGCCCTGCATTTCTGGAATCCCGACGAGTCGGTCTGGAATACTTCTTGAAGTAAGTTTGCCGTCCCACCGACAGTTTGCCATCTGGAATTAACTTAGATACCTAGCTGCATCCTACTCAATCCCGAATTCTCGGGCTCGCCCATCGTCAAGGAGTTTCTCTTTGGTCGGATATGCTAGTACCATTTTTCGCTCAATCGATTGTCTTTGTCGAAGTCATCACCGCTTGTCTATCGCTCAACTCACTATTGCATTGGATCTAGAGGCATTTATGGTAAAAGCCCTCCGGCTTGAAATACATGAGCAATGACCCCATGAAGATACGGCGTCATTCTAAAATTGCACTGGGGTCGGCTACCCATACACAGTTGCATGACATCCAATAAAAGTCCCTACCTGTCGCTATCTGTCGTAGGTCAAGATCCTCATCCTACTCCTTTCCCTCGTGAGTAACCATCATAGCACGAGCGGCATTTTGCTCCTCCTCGCGCGCCTTCTGCATATTCTTCGAGTACTTCTTCCCCGCAACAACCCACCAGAGCAACGCGATGAGCAGGAATCCACCAACACAAACACAGGTGTAATTCATATTCGCCGCTGTCCAGCCTGTCAGCCTTCCCGACGCCACCAGCTTCTTATCCACAAGTTTGAACTCACCAGTGACAGGCATATAATACGGAAATGAGAAAAACACAATGGCGAACACCAGCCATGCAACCGTAATAATGTTCACAGCCATACCGGGCACATGACCCAGGAAAAACGGACCGCGGTGCATCGTCCGGCGCCCCACGAGGACATTGGTGAGGATGGGAACGAGGTAGGCCAGGTTGTTAATCGTCCTGCATGCTACGAATCAGCACATTGAGTTTACACGGTTGTACCTCGCACAAGGAAAACGGCCTGCACTTACACCGCCGAGCTCATCATGGCGTTGAAGGCGGTGCTAGAACCGAGATAGATACAGCCCAGCAGGGCAGTGATGATGCCCACGCATAGCTGGGCGTTAAACGGGGTTTCGAAGCGGGGGTTGACTTTTGCCCAGCTAGATTGCCTGTTAGGTGGTTTTCGTAGTACGAATGACTAGCGTTGGGAAGCTGCTTACATTCTCGAAAGAGGGAGGCCGCCGTCTCGAGCGAAAGCCCAGAAAACTCGGCCGGTACCTAGAGCGTGAGATGTTAGATTGACTGCAGAGTAAGATGGGTGGGGGTGGTGCATGAGCATACTTAGCTGAGAGCCGAGCATGCATGGGCCCAGAGCGACCCACAGCATGAAGGTCAAGGCAAAGGCACCGCCGCGGGTTTGAGTCGCCTGGCGGAAGATCTCTGCCAGTGGGAGGCCTGTCTGGGTTGATGCGAGGGTGGAGTAGTCTTGGACGGAGTACATGAGACTGAGCAGGTAGGTAAGCCCGGTCACGAAGGCGATGCCAAGCGTGCAGGCTGTTCGACTCATTAGTTGCAAGGTCAGGGGTTGCAACGAGAGAAAAGAGCTCACCGAGGGCTAAGGGAGCGTTTCGTCCAGGCTGCGGGAATTTAAGTCATTGGCTGGATGCGACTAGAGAGATACTACTTACGTTTGGCATTTCCTCTGTGATGTGCTGCAATTTTGGTCAGAAGGGCCTAGGACATCTTCAGAGAAAGGACAAACCGTTATGCCATCCAGTCCACCAAGAGAATATAGCGGGTTCACCAGTCCTGTGATGAAGCAAATCACATTGTTCTCCCAGCCGGTGTTATTCATCCACGTTCTGAAAACGAATTCGCTGTCGTTATGCTTGGGAGCTGCGGCAGCAACGGTGACCATGATGACGAACCAGGCCAGTTGGAGATAGCATACTTGCTCAACTGTCAGTATGCCAGGTTTATATATGAAAGTGAAAATCTCAACTCACAGGAAAACTTGTTGATAAGTGGAATATAACGATTCCCGAACATGACTATTCCCGCTGTCAAAATGTTGAATCCCTGGTACGCAACGAAGGTCATCCATGGCTGAATCACGAGATCCGTCTGGTACAGCGCAATCAAGGCCATGAAGTTGGTCGCGTAGATCAAATTGGTAGATGCGGTTGTGAATATCCCTGTCCCCCGTCAGATTTCCTTTCCCGATCAACGATCCCAGCCAAGCTCACATCCGAACACCGTGCTCCAACCCGTCGCGAAGCTCAGAATGCTGTTGTATCGTTTCGGGGCAATGGCAGCAATCCAATGGTACATGCCACCTTCGACCGGGTATGCAGACACAAATTCAGCCAGGGAGGTAGCCAAAAAGCATTGCAGGATGAAGACGAGGATAAACCCGTAGATTACTGAAGCCGTCAACCATGATGTCGCGCAGAATATCAGGGAGCGTCCTACAAGCACCAGGTCCACCGGCGTTGATAGAGGTGATCAAACCCAGTCCCAAACCTGCAATGGAGATGTCAACCCAACAGCCAAAAGAAAGATCTAACATTGGTCAGGGGAGACTCACCAGTCCATGATATGGTGCAATTCGCAGCCAGACCGATCAGACTCCAAACCGAAAAATGTCTTTTCAGCTCTTGTTTATGGCCTAGTCATGGTCAATAACAGCCCATTGACGAATCCATTTAATAACACACCCATCTGCGCCAAACGCAGCTCATCTGCATTTTGAACCCGGATGATACTAGAGCCATGATCATCGACAGCGTCGGCCACAGGAGATGCCATTTTGGAGTCACCCATTGTGGTGGATGTGCGTGAGGAACTCAACAGACACAATCGAAAATGTGCTTGGTTCAGACCCAGAGTGATAAATTAGAGCCAACATGCTGGTCTTGGCCATCGTCGCCTTGTGTGACCGTCTCCTTATCGAGAACATACGGTGCTTATCGGAGACAGCGTCGCCTTAGCATCGGACATCTTCCTGGATCGCCGGTGTGCCGACAATATGTCCGCGGAAGGGGTAGTGAAAGAGCGAATGAGAAACTGCATATTACGGGCTAGTGGAATAGCTCCAAACCAAGAGAAGTATGGTTGTTGTCGATCGACACTCTCTCCCTCCTGAAAAATGCACTGTGGAACTGAGGAAGAGTACGGAGCACCTTTGACGCTGCTACTCCGTACTCCATAGACTATCAGATGGGTATCTTTGCGGGGTCAGAATGCATTGATGATCATTGTAACTGTAACATCGACTTAATAGCAGTGGAAGAGCTCTTTATGCTCGAAGACTGGGTTTTGTGATCATTCATGTGAAAAGGTGCTAGTTCACGTAGGAGGACGGTTTCGAGAAGCGAAGCAAACTAAAGGTGGACTTGACAGGGGTCAGTAATATCCGTCTTGCTGGGGTCTGTCACAAATAGGATGGAATTCGGACACGTTGGTCAAATGGCAAGAGTTCATCATCATCACAGGAGGAATGGATAGAACAATTCTAGAAACCAAGCAATATTAATGAGAGGTAAAAATGTTACCTGACTAGTTCCAAGCAGGAAGACTGTTTCTTGTTGGTGCTCACTGTCATCTACATTAGTGGCCTGAGGCAGTAATTCATAAATCTTATCTCCAACATAGAGCACCACATTAGTAATTATGCTCATTTTATACGTTCATTTGATCCGCCTATCAGCGCCCGTCCCATCGGTGGCTGATTCAAGTTGTGATGACAGCCCTGGCCGCATTACGTCAGGAGAGCTACTACAAGTCTACAGAGTAGGTACAACAAACAGCAACACCGCAACCATTGACCAAATTGCTCTTCCAGGAAACTCCAATCTGGCGATGTTGTACTCTTATACTCATGTTCCAGTAGACCATTGCATTATACGACCTTCATCAGAGACACTGAAGAAAGTCATAGGCCCTAGCAAGCGCCTGCTACTCCGAGCATCATCGAGCCACCACATATGTATACAAGAGGTACACTGTACGGATACCAGTACTAGTACCTCTCTACCCCTCGCACTTTTATTAGCACCTGCACAACTACCGCGTCCTATCCATGGAAGAGACCCTACTAATATTATCCCTAAACCACTGACAGGCGAGTGGAGAAACACGCGGGCTGACAATCTCCACCGCACGTCATCGGAACCAGCCCAATCGACCTGTCATGCCGCAGTGGCACACTAATGTCAACGGCCAAAGCTGGATCGATCCAATCATTCACAATCATCTGAAAAAAGGTGATATCAATGGGCTGATGGGGGGTGCGCAGACGATCGATGTAAATTCTCCGATTGGAAACCTGGGAGCAGGACTAACGTAAGACTTTGTTGATGATCTCATCTTAGGCGCTGTTAGCGAGTCTTAGACTCAGAACAGGACTGTCTTGTATACAGATACCTTTTAGGTATACAAGATAGTAGAAGAGAGAGATATCTGTCTTGCTTAAATCCAGTTGTCTGTCGTACAGCAGGAGTTTGTCTGTACTGTGATGTAATCTCACCATGGCGAATGTCTTCTACTTCACCCAAGGTACTACAATGTATACAATTAATGGCAGCTTCAAACACACAAAATAATAAACAATTCTACCCCTGCACCCTGACGCAACTATGACTCCTCATCAGTCTGTCAAAACCAAAAGACAGATCAAGTATCAACACTCGTCCTGCACCGTGGTATTGTAGCTCCCGTGGAGACCTCAGGCGGGTCCTTTTCGGCCGGATATACAGTCATATTTAATTTATTTCAGCCTGTTGCATTACTCTTCTCCCTCCTGATTCGATATCCAGTCTCCCAACCTAGCCTGGCCATCCACGGATCGACCCTTGGGCTCAAGCCACCGTCCGGTCCCAATCGACTGTGGCTGCCTTTTGCGTTACCCCCATTACATATGTGCCCCCGGTGATTGTCTTGCTTGATAGGAAGGAAGCGAATGGCGGGACAAGAGGCCAATGGAAGCTACAACTTGATACTGGTAGCGTTGGCCTGGCTTGGTGCATGATGATGTGGATAGTCCATGACGTAGGATGGTAATAGGAGCAAGTGATTGATGCTTGTGTGCATTTAAATGAGTTGAGGGGGGATGTTGCGTTGAGATGAATAGATATTCGCACAGAAAGACCTATACTCGATTCTAATTGACACTTGTATATTACAATCATACTTTGATCTACGCAAAAGCTCATCTGATATTCACGAGGCAATCAGTTGCACTGTACTTTTACTGCTATCACAGTTTACACTTACGTTACGGTTGACGACACGACT